ATGCCAACCCTGAAACAACTTACAGAACTACCACATTTTGCTAGAAGTTTGATTGTATCATATAATAACTGCTGTTAATATGGTTCATCGTCTATTCGATTACGTTTGTAACTGATTTTTCCCCCGTACATTTCTGCCATATGTACATCAACTTGACAGTCACCACTGATAAGCTACTACTAATATATTGTAGAAACTTAAATTTGCTGTAAAGCTGCTTTGCAACGATTTGTATCGTGAAAAGCGCTATACAAATAAGCTTGGAATTGAATTGTTTTCTCCAAACAGCTGTCTCAGAAAGTAGTTTCTCTCTCTCTCTCTCGATGATGCCAACCCTGAAACAACTTACAGAACTACCACATTTTGCTAGAAGTTTGATTGCATCATATAATAACTGCTGTTAATATGGTTCATCGTCTATTCGATTACGTTTGTAACTGATTTTTCCCCCGTACATTTCTGCCATATGTACATCAACTTGACAGTCACCACTGATAAGCTACTACTAATATATTGTAGAAACTTAAATTTGCTGTAAAGCTGTTTGCAACGATTTGTATCGTGAAAAGCGCTATACAAATAAACTTGGAATTGAATTGTTTTCTCCACACATCTCTCTCACAAAGTTTTTTCTCTCTCTCTCTCTCTCTCTCTCTCTCTCTCTCTCTCTCTCTCTCTCTCTCTCTCTAAATAAAATAAACTACAGAATTTGTCCATGACAAACCAATTTAAATCGAACTTGAAATCCAAACTCGCTAATCACACAATTCTGATTGGTCCAGCCTGACGGGCGCAGTGAAAAGTAACTCGCTGCAGTAAACAAATGCTTTTGACAATAATTCCCACCTTAATAATTACATTTGAAAAGTTAAATTGGAAATGAATTTGAAAATACAGAGTGAAAAGTTATAATACGGTAGATAAATGATCTCAATAGCTCATAACTGATCGGCTTCCTGCAGTTCCTCCAGCTGAGCACTAGGGGCGACCTCATCCTCTGACATGAACACACCAATACATTTTTTTAGTGAAACAATCATGGCGCCGTCCGCGGACAGCAACGTGAAAGAAGAAAACAGTCAGATTTCATATAAGAAAGATATAAATACTAAAATAGGTCGTATACTACAAAACAAGAAACATGCTAACGACATATTCGACGTTATTCAATATTTGCAGGTATGTGATTCTTATTTCATAGTGGACTCAACAGGTTATATTCCGATAAGTACTCCTGTTATAAAACATACTTTTTTTTCTCACTTGCAGTCCGAAAAGGATAAAGAAATCATTTTCGCCACCGATGCTTGCAAAAGGCTTTTCTGTCAGTTGTTCGACAGAGGAGATCTTTATGTTGGTGATCTGCCTCAGGAAGATAAAAGCTTTATCAGTGGCATAAAAGTAACCAATGCAGCTACTTAATCATGTGCTACTCGTTAACGCGTTAACGTCCTCTTTAAATAACATGACGCTCTGCCCTCTATGACGCTGCTCCCATTAAGCGCTGTTGGAAGTGAATGAATTGATTCAGCATTTCGACGCCTCCGTGAGGATGCATTTAACTCGACACAGCGGTCTGGATTTATTGATCTCGTCAATTAGCGAATTTTACTATACAAATATTTTTTAATTGGATGTTAATGTTTATATGGGAATATTACATGACACGCTGATCCTTTAACAATGCATTGGCGCAAAAAATGCACACCTTTTGGACAAATGTGCCACAAATATTTGGACAAATGTACCACAAAAGTGCCACAAATACTGCCTAAACAAAATACTGATTTTGTGCACTTTATTTACTGTATTAATATTTTAAATTGGCCTTTGAACTTAGCTTTATTGCATGGCAAAAAAAAGTGTTACCTTGCCAAAGCACTGACAGAGCCCACTGATCTAATGGCATTGTTGAGCGCTCCAAATGCAAACTTTGCATGCAACAATCAGGCAGTAATTGACAGCACTCTGATCTAGTGGCATACAGGCATCGTCAGACTGAGAGTACTTTAGCCCAATAATGTTGGGGGATCCAGTGGGGGTGGCTGTCATATTTCAGGGTGACCAGCCACTCTTTATCACAACCCTGCTAAAAGTGCCAGTACTTGCGCTCATTGGCGCCCCTTCAGCTATGCCTAAAAACGGCCCTGACAGCAAGCCTATTGCAGACTGAAGTCATAAATTGGCGCCCCTTCAGCTGGTGGCGCCCTAGGCGACCGCCTAGCTCGCCTATGCCTAAAAACGGCCCTGACAGCAAGCCTATTGCAGACTGAAGGCATATACGAATAAAGCTTATTCCTCTCACAGACCCTGGTGGAGCATCTTCTCTCAACGAAAGAAGACATGTCACTGCTCATCTCCAGGTTTCAAGAGTTTTTGGAGATGGATGATGTGCGCTACTACGTCATGAGTTCAGTACGAGATAACATTTACAGAGTCATGGGCCGAAACAAAAAGGTGAGTGTGGTTGTGTTCACATTGCCAGTTTTTCTGCATATTTATTCTGCATTATCAATTATACAAGCTTGTTTTTCTCTTTTTTTAGGCTGTGATTCCTGTATATCAAAATAATGTTTACACACTCCTCTCAACCATCAACGTACCCAGCCACGGATCAAAAATTACACATTTTCTTGTTAAACAAGCATGTAAGTTTGCTTTATTCCCGTGGTATTGTCCCTACAAGACATTGTCCTTCATAAACACTATTTCTCGCTGTGCTTTATAGACAAGCCGGAAGAATGGAAAGTAGCCAAACTAAAGGTACATACTTTTTTATTATACATTTCCGCATTTATTTGTCTAAAATTTATGCTGACGTTATAAATACATAATTTTTCCCATATAGGAGCATAAACGAGCTTTTGAGCAAATGTGGCTGCTGTTTCTCAAGTTCAAGGTAAAACAATCCTCACTATAGCATCACACTATACTCATTGTCTATAAAGACCTTTCCTAAGGTTTTTTGAGTTTTTTTACTGGTGTTTGGGCTCCCATAGTTACCTAGCAGCATGTACAAGAAGATCCTGGTGGTCCTTCATGAGTCCATAATGCCACAGATGAGTGATCCCACACTTCTGATTGACTTCCTGAGCGCTGCCTATGACATTGGTGAGTCCAGGGTGTACTAAAGAATTATTATTTATGACATTAAAAGTTATATATCTGTAATGCACCTGTTTTTCTCAGGTGGGGCGATCAGTTTGTTGGCTCTGAATGGCTTGTTCATCCTCATCCATAAGCATAATTTGTAAGTATTAAACCAGGCAATTTTCTGATCGACATGACCATTTTAATATTTTTTATTCAAAACCATCTTTGTGGGTTGTTGTGTAGGGATTACCCAGATTTTTATAAGAAGCTGTACAGTCTGCTGGATCCCTCCATCTTCCATGTCAAGTACAGAGCACGTTTCTTCCACCTGGTGAACATCTTCCTCTCTTCAACGCAAGTTTGCTCTCTACCCTTTTATTTTGGTTAAAGATCAATATGAGCATGAGTACATAAATGTCGTGTTTTGTTCTTAAATGCAGTGAAATAGTAACCCGTTTGCTCTGACATGCTCTGACAGACATCTGCCAGCCTATCTTGTGGCAGCGTTTGTGAAGCGCTTCGCTCGCCTGTCTCTCACAGCGCCACCTACAGCTCTCCTCATACTTCTGTCATTCATCTGTAATCTCATTCGCCGGCATCCCTCGTGTAGGGTTTTCATCCACAGACCCAGCGCTGCAGAAGGTATGTCACTGATAGAATGATCAAATTATTATTCATTTAAAATAAATACATATTTATTTATACATAATTATTTTTTATTTATTTAATATTTGTATATATTTTAAATACATATGTGTTATTTATTTGCGAATAAATAGCTATGTGTGTGTGTATGTGTATTTTTTGTACTTTGTGTATTTATTATTAATTGTATTTTTTTAAACATATATATATATATATATACTTATTTTGTTGTCATTTAAAATATATATTTAAATGTATTTTATTAATTACTGACTTAAATATATTTTATTTAGTATTAATTACTAGTTATTCTAAAAAAGTATTTTATTTATTATTTATTTATTTATTCTTTTAATCTATACATTATTATTTTGTGTTTATTTGATATGTTTTTAAATATACATATTTATTTTTATTAATTTACAATATGTACATTTACAAATATATACATATTTTATTTGTTGTTTATTATTTATTTATAATTTTTGTTTGTTTATTTTTTCAAAATATATACATATCTGTTTATTTTGTTTTTATTCATCTAAAAATATATGCGTTTATTTGTTTGTTAAATATTTATTTATATTTATAAATATTTCTTATTTTGTATTAATTACTATTCTAAAAATGCATGTATTTAATTTATTATTCATCTTAATTTAAACCAGAATAAATATATACATATTTATTTTTATTGATTGAAAATATGTACATTTACAAATATATACATATTTTATTTATTTGTTTATAGTTTTTGTTTCTATTTAAAAAATCTATGCATTTATTTATTTAAAATATATTTTTGTATTAATTACCGTTTATTAAAAAAAAATTCATTTATTTATTTAATTTATTATTCATGGAATACAGGGACACTTGTCATGTGTCTGTATTTATTATGAAAAATTGTTCTTGTCTATTTTTTTAATCAGAGCCTTGTGATGACCCGTATGTGATGGAAGAGGAAGATCCAGCTCAGTGTCATGCTCTGGAGAGCAGCCTATGGGAGATCAAGGTAAGACTAAATCCAAGAATCTTCATATTGTTGTTTATTTGGAGCTGTCCTTCCTGACATTGACATTCTGACTGCCTCACCATCAGCAAACTCGACAAAGAATTAACCTATGAATATCTAAAAGGATATTGATGAAAAAAAGCCAATCTCTTAGACTTTGCAGAAGCATTACCACCCAGATGTGGCCAAGGCTGCCATGAAGATCAACGAGCCACTGACTGAACAAGAGGACAATATCAGTGAGATGCTAGAGCTCTCGACATTTGAGGTAATTAGCACCATTTGGGAGTTTGGATAGTTATATTTGCCATGTGTTACAAGTATAAAATTGTTCAATTAATCATTATCCCCTCCACATTTTGTTTGGCAGCTAATGGAGCGAGAACTCAAAGCTGAAAGGAAGACGATACCGCTAGAGTTTGACACAGCCACAGAGCTCCTGAAGAGCCCTAGAGAGATGCTCGGAGTGCACTTTTCTCTAGAGTAACCACTCTTATTTGCAAATATGATCTTTCCAAAAATGTATTCTTTGTATTAAAAAAGTTTGTGCAGTCAATTCCCTGGGCTGAAGAAATAAACATTTGCAAAAAATGAGCATGTGCTGAATATTTTGTGTCCTCTAGTGAGTGTTGATCAGACTGTACAAAGAAATAATTTAAAGAATACAATGGTACAAAATACCATGTGATTGTATTTGTTTAGTTTGTCGTGTTTATAGTTTTAACTCATTGATGGCCAATACAATATTACCACAGTTTTATTGTATGGACAATAACTGTAGTTACTATGGTATTTCCTATAGTACTTCCTCCCCCCCCCCCCCCCCCCATATTTTTTTGCTGTAGTCTCAGTACTATATATATTTCTTTCCCTTTTTTAACCCTTATTAAGCCTCTTCAAATAACAAATAAATCCAAACAGCATACATTTTATGAATACATACAGCCTCTTCAAATAACAAATAAATCCAAACAGCATACATTTTATGAATACATACAGCCTCTTCAAATAACAAATAAATCCAAACAGCATACATTTTATGACAAAAAAAAACTTACCTCTATAAAAATAGCATTACACAAAAATTCAGCCGCTTTGTTTTGCATAAATCTAAAGATTCTATGTTGTGAGTCTGTTCTTTGCTGCTGCAGCATGTGGTTTTGCTCCAACCCTCTAGGTGTCGCTAATGTGAGTACGTTCATTCCAGTACCTCAAAACGCAGCAGTGGTTAAATGAAGTGCTCCTCTGTTGTTGTACTGAACTTGGCTGTAGTAGTGTTAGGATTTTTCACTCTCGCTTTTGCAAAAATGTCCACCGAACGTCTTGCTAAAATCCCAGAGGTTGATTTAGATCCCAATGGCGTCTTCAAATACGTCCTCATACGGGTGCACAGCAAAGACGACGATTCATGTGTTGATATTGTGAGAGGATACGCATGGGCCGAGTATCATGGTAGGACTCCATTCAAGAGTTTGAATGAATGACATGTGATGTGCACATTTATTGAATGTGAGAAAATACATTTTAAAGAAGTTTTAAAGCTGTAGTTGAATGGCAACTGCCAAATGTTGATTTTGGTTCAGGCAAACTTAATTAATATCCTAAAACATTGTATTTAGGCGAAATACTGGGCCAATAACGAATCTCTTGGTTTTGATACTGTTATTTATGATTAGTTATTTATAAATTATGATGTTTCTTTTAAGAATGTTTTATTTTTAAAAAAGTATTTAAAGCAACCCAGTCGTTCTGCACTTATATGCGTTGACTCGTTCGTTCACTGAAGTGACTCACTCAAAACAGAAGACAGCCTGCGTCCCAATGTGCATCCATCCTAAATTCTATGTGATTTTAGTCATTTTCAATACTTTGTAGGGTGGATAGTATGCACATTAGGACGCATGATAGTCTCCATATGCAGAAACAGCCAGTGAATGAATCTTTTTCAATGAACCGATTCAAAAGATTCGAGTCACTGGGAGAAGTAGAATGAATAAATAAATGAAATAAATGTTTAGCTTATTGAATTGTTGTGATTGGTCTCCTTTTTTTGCATATTGCTTTGTGATTGGTCTTTTATTTCTTACAACAATTAATCATCTTTTTTGCATTTTGCTTTTATTATTTTCTCTTTCTTCCTCTGTATTAGATTTTCAACTTTTCTAGCTTTCATTTTACTAACGTTTTTTTTTTTACTGCAGAAAAGCACTTGAGTTTTGCTTAAATACAAAATAGTTTAGTAGTCTTTCTAGATATGTATTACAGTTTTTAGGAACTTTCTCCACACATTTGATAGGAGAACAAAAGTTTAACTTTTCTAGCTTTCATTTTACTAACGTTTTTTTTTTTACTGCAGAAAAGCACTTGAGTTTTGCTTAAATACAAAATAGTTTATTAGTCTTTCTAGATATGTATTACAGTTTTTAGGAACTTTCTCCACACATTTGATAGGAGAACAAAAGTTTCATTGTGTCTAGCTACAAAACCTTCATAACATTTTATCTCCTCAAGCTGATATCTATGACCGTGTGGCCGGAGAACTGGAGAGAGGTGGAGGAGTGGATTGTGAATGTCTCGGAGGTGGAAGAATCAAACATGACAGTGCTGCAAAAAAGATCCACGTCTACGGTTATTCCATGGTACACATGATGTTCTCATTTTAAAAAATGTATATTCCTTTAATTTGACTATCCAGTAATCGACCATCTTTTTTTTTCAGGGATTTGGGAGAGCAAAGCATTCTGTTTCCACAGAGAAGATAGAAACCCAATACCCAGACTATGAGGTGACCTGGGCGGATGAAGGGTATTGAATGGGTTAAATGACAGCTGCGTATAAGGACGCTATTTCAAACCTACCTGTCTTAACGTAGCATTCAAGTCTTGATGTGCCAAGGCTGAGAAAAAACAGAACTTTAATGTCTGATAAGACATTTACTCCAAAACTAAAGGAGAGGCCTTTTTTTAAACTTCATGTGTAGTTTATCACATGGCAACAATGAGAAAGGAATGCAATTATGTTTATGGCCATTGGTCTTTAAATATAGGAAATGATCAAATAAAGCAGGTTAAGTACTTCATCCAAACCATAAAATGTTATAAAGTGCAACACTAACATCCTGAAATGATAATAAAGTCCAGAGAAGTGCTCTAAGAAATTTCCAGAACTGCTTTTTTGTCATTCATTTAAGTTGGAAGAAATGTTTGTATGCGTCACAATGAGGGAAATATCTTGTTAAAGCAAATTACTGTGCTTAACTACAACATATAAAATATAAATATTGTGATTTAATGATTTCTAAAGCACCATGCTATAAATCTGGACCCTCAGACCTGATCGGTGGTTGTAAACCTTGCCTGATAAACTTGACGATCCATATCCGTTTGTCAGCATTTTTAATAGAACATGCCATTAGGAGCACTGACTTTCTTGACTTGAAATATTACGACCTAACAACATCCGGAGAATGTTATTAACATTTAAAAACAGCTGCATTAAGTCAGCACATGTTTTTTTCATTTCAAGCCTGAAGATTAAAGTAGAGATCTTCTTGTGTTAGTTGCATTTCAATTATTTAGTGCAAAGAAAACAGCAATGAATTGCACAACATATTTAATAAACGAGTTTACTTTTGCCTCTAGTACTGCATCTCTTATTGTGTCATTTTCTTTATTCATTTCTTGTTTCTTTGCTTATCTGTCAAGGTTTACCCTAGAAAGGGTTTATAGTTTGCTACAATTAGTGAGACCAGAATGTGCCATTCATTTGAGCTAAATAGTAACATTGTCAAGTGAAGTGTCTGGTGTTGAGGCCCAAATAAACTGAACTGTCTGTGCTGCATATTTTCAGAAGGGCAGAGCAGTTTTAAAGGAAGGATCTGGCACATATCTGGGGGTTAAGATGTAAAGTCCAGGCATTATCTCTGTGTGGAAGCAGGAGGGAGGGACGCGGGTGAAGTTAATAACTTCATATGTGGCAGGACGGTGCTTTTGCTCACTGTACGCTGAAGAAGAGCTCTTGTTCTGTCTTCTGGTGGCAAAAGTAAAGACTGGATTCATGGCTACCTGCCACTGGATTCTCCTTGTGTGTCTCGCACTCAATTTCTGTCAGAGGGGTGAGATCTGGTGTTTTTGTTTGTTTATTTGTTGTTAACATATTCAGGTCATTTGCTTAAAGTATTGAATGCCACTTTGGGACATGTGTGCACTATTGAAGATCTTTTTTTTTTTTGTGCTTTCAATTATACATTTTGGTGGCTGATATTTCTAATTATTAATATTTCTATACATAAGCTCCATTAAGTTAAATCGATGTTAAGCCTGTATTAATGTAAATGCAATTTGTTTGCTGCTAAACCTGCACAACCATCTACACTATATTCTCAGTTTATACAATCGCTGGCATTTTACCATTGGTTTTCTGAATTGTTTAAGAATTCTCATCCTTGTATGTGGGAATGCAGCCTCATATCTGACATTTGTGTGTCAAGAGACCTTTGACTGTGTACTGCGTGTGACTATTAAAAAGATGGACCTTTGTTACTCGAACAAGAGGAGATTTAGAAATCCAAGTGTTTTTAATGTCTTGAAGCCTAAATTCAGACTAAATCGGACTTTCAGTCACTTGCAGCATAATTTAATTGTTTCTTGAGCAGCAAATCAGCATATTAGAATGATTTCTGAAGGATCAGGTGACACTGAAGGCTAGAGTAATGCTGCTGCAAATTCAGCTTTGCCAACGCTGGAATAAATTACATTTTCAAATTTGTTAAAAATGTATATTGTTTATATGTTAAATGTTCATATTACAGTTTTTACAGTATTTCTGATCTAATAAATGCAGCCAAGAGACTTCTTTAAAAAAAAATCTAACTGACCCCAAAGGTTTGAATGGTAGTATATGATTTATGTGCTTAAATAGGTTCTTTATTATTAGTGCAGTAATAAACTCCCAGCAAAAACATCTTATATTTTACACAAAAAAAAAAACAATCTTATGTTTGACCAAAGTTGATTCAGCCACTTTATTTTTAATAACTTGAACATCATTTTAAATTAATTTATTGTTTTATTTAAAACCCTCAAATGGAGTTATTTTTCATGTAATTGCAAAATTCAATGTGATAATATTATTTATGAAATATTGCATACATGTTTTGTTCAATTTGAATGAAATAATTGCTCAAAGCTTTCATAATGTCTCTGTTAAAGTACAGTTATAGAAGTGTGATATGGTTGTGGATTTTATACACACAACTGTGAGAGGCCAATCACGTGTCTTCATCATTACTCTCATTCACTAGCTGTGGCTCTGGAGCGAAATGACTGCAACAGTTCTCCAGAAGACAGATGTGATTTTGTTTGTGACTGCCAAGACTGTAGTGATGAGCAAGACTGTGGTAAGACACTGAATGTCTATATATTCATACCATCTGGTTAATGTATTTGTGTCCTTTTCTTGACATTTTTCCTGTTCTCGTTTATTGGTTGAATGTTAGGTTATCAGGGACGGGATTTTGTGTGTGATTTTGAGCACGAGGGGAAGTGTGGATGGACTGTCCAGTCAGATGAAGGTGGGTACATGTGGCAGAGACAGCAGAGAGGGAACACGCTCCCTGACAGCGGGCCGTCCTCTGACTACACCACTGGCACTTCCACAGGTACATGATAATTCAGCTTACCCTTCCTGCAGGAGCTCTTTATATTTATAAAGCCTTTACAAATCCAGTTATATATTTAATACAAACGTAAACTGTGTTCTAAGCTGCTTCAATGATTTTAAAATGGAAATGCAAATTTAGGAAAGATAGATTTCTTTTTTAAACAATTTTGATAAAAATTTAGAAGAATGTACGTAAAACCAACACAGTATTTCATAAAAAGAACATCATACCAACAGTCAGACATGGTGGTGGTAGTGTGATGATCTGGGGCTACTTTGCAGCTTCAGGACCTGGACAACTTTGACATAATTGACAAAACCATGAATTCAGCACTCTATCAGAAAATCCTGAAGGAGAAAGTCCGGCCATCAGTTTGTGACCTCAAGCTCAAGCGCACTTGGGTTATGTAGCAGGACAATGATCCCAAACACACCAGCAAGTCCACCTCTGAATGGCTCAAGAAAAACTAAATTAAGGTTTTGGAGTGGCCAAATCAAAGTCCGGACTTAAATCTGATTGAGATGCTTAAACAGTCCATTCATGCTCGAAAACCCTCCAATGTGGCTGAATTAAAACAATTCTGCAAAGAAGAGTGGGCCAAAATTCCTCCACAGCGATGTGAAAGACTCATTGCCAGTTATCGCAAACACTTGATTGCAGTTGTTGCTGCAAAGCGTGGCGCAAGCAGTTATTAGATTTAGGGGACAATTACTTTTTCACGTAGGGCCAGGCAGGTTTGGACAGCTTTTTTCCCTTAATAAAATAAATAATCATTTAAAAACGGCATTTTGTATTTACTTGCATTATCTTTGTGTAATATTAAAATTTGTTTGATCTGAATCTTTTAAGTGTGACAAATATGCAAAAAATAAAAAAAACAGGAAGGGGGCCAACACTTTTTCACATCACTGTATAAAGAAAAATACACTACTGTCCAAAATTTTTTTCATTCTCTTATTTAGAAAGTATGCATTAAATTTATCAAAAGTGACAGTAAAGACATTTATAATGTTACAAAGGTTTTCTATTTAAAATAAATAGTGATTTTGAAATCCCACAAAAAAAAAGCAATCAGTACAACTCTTTTCAACATTGATTATGATAATAAATGTTTCTTGATCACCAATACAGCATAGAATAGTAGAATTATGTGACATAGAAGACTGGAAAGTAATAGAAAATTCAGCTTTGCCATCACCGGAATAAATTACTTTTTTTTTTAATTACCAAAAACATTAACAAATCAAAAACATTAAACATATATATATTCTTACTGACCCCAAACTGTTGAACGCTACTGTATATTTTAGGTGATGTAATTGGTTATAATTATATGCATATATTTTATTTATTAAATTAAGTCTACTTTGGTTAATTTAATTTTACTTGCATCTATAATAATTGTGCAAAAATTACAAAATGGTGTTTGAAATAATTTTATTCAAAAATGTTTCGATAAGAATTTAAATTCTTTAATGTTAGCTAATCCATTAGTTATCTTGAACTAATAATTAACTTTTTTTACAGCGTTTATAAATCATAAGCATTTTACATTGCTCATATAAGGTTAATGTTAATATCTGCATTTAATATCTTTCATTAATTATTCATACTTGTTGTTAATACATTTACCAATGCTAATTAATACAAACTCACGTTTGAAATGTATTAATATATGTAGAAAAAAACATTAACAAAGATTATTAAATGCTGTAAAAATGTTATTCATGATGCCTAACAGCAATACTGAAGCTTTATCAAGGTTTCTCTTCATGTAATGTGTCTGTTTTCCTCAGGCTGGTTCATGGCAGTGACGGCTGTGACTTCAGATACTCCTAGAACCACTGTGCTTGTGTCCCCTACAATAAAACATTCCTCTCCTACCTGTCGCCTTCGGCTCAGATACTTCATCTGGGACTCAGGTTCACACACATTCTAACACATTCAAAACTTTATTGAAAACTGACCATTTAATATGAAGAGCAGAATTAAATGAAGATAGGGACACATCTAACCCTATAGGTGTGTGTTTTAGGTTACACAGGGTTAGGTGACACCCCACTGTGGGGATCGGTGTGGCAAACTGATGGCGAGAAAGCAGTGGTATGGAGACCAGAGAGCTCCAGCATCCGCAGCTGGAGGGAGGCCACCATCTACCTGGGCCGTATCTCGGGCCCTTTCCATATCCAGCTTAATTCGAGACGCAGTGAAGGGAAGCAGGGAGATGTGTCCATCGATCAGATGGAATTCCTAGATTGTGCCCTACCAGGTAAAGAGAAATAAAAAAAAGGTAAAATTAATTTACGAACAGAACAACCAGAAGCATGATTCAGCTATTTTATTTAATTTAAATTTTTACTTTTTTTTATTTTTTTGTGGGTGCATTAATGAAAGCCCAGTTTCTTTTTCTTTTGTTTTCTTTTAATTTTATCATGATTTCTTATTTTTGCCAGGGCACTGGTCACAATTTAGTTTTATTCTATTTTATTTTATTTTTTATTTTATTTTTCATTAGAGGACACCAGTTGCATTCCTGGCTCCCTTTTCTTTTCTTTATTTGTTTACATAGATCAGTTGTGCAACTTAATTATCAAAGGTACAAATACATTTTTTAGAGGCTGCATTTAAAATCCACTTGCCTCATTTTTAATGTTCATGGCCCTTCAGGGATCAATGCATTAGATGGATCACAGTTTTAGTGAAAATAAGGATGTTTGGATCCTCTCTCTCTTCCAGTTCCCCCTGAAAATGGAACATGCGGCCCTGGATTTGTGACATGTAAGCGGGAAGGATGTGTGGAGGACTATAAAGCGTGTGACGGCACGGATGACTGTGGTGATGGAACAGATGAAGAGAACTGTGGTGAGAGACCATGAATCTAGCGAGAGAAATCAGTGATGTGTTAATGATGAGATGTTATTTCATTGATTTAGTCTTCAGCACATTTGATTCCTGT